AGGAATACATTAAGCTTTAGAGTCGCCATGGAGATGCTATACAGCTTTGACTGAAAAAAAAGAGAGAGCATTGCTTGCTATAGTAGCGCAGGAGGAAATTCATGGCCGGGGAAGGGGCTGGGTGCTCATTGACTTGCATGAGGATGGTGCCGCTGCAGTGGGTGCAGGGGGGGAATGCTTGGAGCCAGTGCCCTGCTGGCAGAGGGGCAGCATGAGCCCTCCCATCCTGACTCCCCAGCTGAGTGTAGAGAGACCTGGGGTGCGAGGGGGTCCTCATGTGCCACCATCAGCCCCTCTGCCCTCCCCCCCAGACATTGCTATTAAAGGAAACACTTCTGTATGGTGAGCCCTCCAGCTCCCCTCCCCATCCATCCCATCTGGGAACCAGCCAGATGCTGGGAGCTGCTTTATTGGGAGGAGGCTGGGGTTGTTGGGGCACACAGCCCATCTCCCCACCTGGAGAAAACCCATTTATTGCCCAGCTCAGTGGTTATTTGGTCTGAAGTTTTGAATGAGTCCCTAATTCAGCCACACACTAAATCCAAATCCAGCTTAAGCGTAAGTGACTTTGAAGCACAACTGGTGTGATTAGGTTGGATTTTCTACGGTATTTAGCTGCCTAAAGATGCAGATCGGTATTTAGCCAGCTTTCAGAGGTAAATCCACAAAAAAGATGGAGGTCCTCAGGGTGGCAGTGCTGGATGTGTGTTCTCCAGGGCAAGGTGGGCTTTGGCTTTGATTGTCTCCCTCCTGGGAGAGAAGAGCTCCTCCAAGCCTGGCTATGGCTGCACTTCGAAAGGGAGCCAGGCCAGGGCACAGCTGTGGCTCTGAGCATGGTGTTTGCCCTGACAACCCCAGCCAGCACCAGCAGCAAGGGCCAGGGATGGATGATGCCACCTGCTATTTTTGGGGTGACAGGAATCAGGTTTATCCACATGGCAGAGCAGCCTCACTCAACCCCCGTGGCGCCAGGCTCAGGGCACCGGCTGGGGTTACTCACTATCACCGATGTCACCTTTCCAGCTCTGCCCCATCACTGAGCCCTGCCACAGTGGCAGCAGCTGCCCGTACTGCCTCTGTGCATGGTGAGGGGCTGCAAAGGGTGAGTCAGGAGTGTGCAGACAGTGGGGTCTAACCAGGAACACATTGCCCAGCATTATATTTTTAGCTGCCTAATTGCGAGAGCAGAATGTACTCGGCTTTGCTGCAGGATGCTCCTGCTTGGTTCCTGGCAGAGATTGATCTCGAAATGCCAATTGCTCTCCAGGGGCGCAGGCTCTAATGAATTGCCACAGTTTGTGCTGGTCCCAGGCACTGGCGCTTCCTCCCCCTGCTTCCCAAGCAGCAGGATAATGAGACACCCAGAAAAAGAATTATTTCCTTCTCCTGTGAAGGTAAAATATTTCATGGGAGTGCATGTGTGTACCAGCACATAATTACAAGCCCGAATCCTGCAGGCTTTCCTCCAGCAGTGTTCTTGCTGAAGGTTAGCCCTAGGAAATGAGTGTGGTAAAACAGCCCTTTACAGCCACCTCCCCCATTTTATTTGCTCCTTGCAGGCAAAGGAGGAGTTGTTAAAGCCTGTGATGAGTAGAGCAGCTTACCAGCATCCCGGAGTGGGGCGGATGCTGGGGCGGGTCTTGCTGGGCTACTCCCCTGCCCACACCTCAAACCGCTTTACAGCTCTTTCTGACCTTGTCTGTGGGGGGAAGTTCAGGAAACTGAGCTGAACTACCCTGATGCAGATTGACAAATGGCTTTAAGCCTCTGTGTGCCTTTTGAATCCATAACTCAAGTATCTTGGGCTGGTTTGCCTTAATGTGCTCCCTGAGGGACTCCCAATGTCCCATGTCTCCCAGGGACACCTGATGTCTGCACCCCGCTGGGACCTGCTTGGCTTCGCATCTGGAAGTTCTCACTGGGGTCTGCAGTCAAATTAATGGCCTTTTTGAGCCCCTTCCTTTTTTTATCCTCCTCCATGGTTTCTGTTGCTGTCTGCAGGGTGGTTTGGCAAGGGATGGGCCAGCCAGTACTGTGGCAGGGTTTGTGGGGATGGGCAGGGAACCCAACGTGTCAGGCCATGCCTGAGCCAGGGGACGTGGTGGCAAGGCTGGCATGGGCAGGCAATGTGGGGAGCCAGTGCCCTGAAACAGAATGTAGAATGTGATGGGCAGCCATGCCAGGGGAACCGGTTCCTGTGTTAATGAAAGCATGGCTGCACTGCTGCTGAAGGACCCTGCCTTGCAGGAGGGCGATGCAGAGGAGAGCAGCCAAGCACCTTGTTAGTGTGTAGGGGATGATGCTGAAATGATGGTCTCCTGATGGCACAGTGCTCCTTTGACTGGTCCCCTGGCTGCTCTGGGGGTGAAAGCAGAGGGGTGAGTTATTACTGGGAGGAGAGCAGGGCTGGAGGGCACCTTCTGCCCATCAACAATGGGTCCTGCAGAGAGGAGCAGTAGCTTCTGTGCCCTGCACCAGACTGCACCACCCTGCCTGAGCATGATTTCATGGGAATAAAAACTGTGTTTCTTGTCTGGTTTTCTTGGGATGCTAAAGCCCCACACCTCATGGGGGCATATGCCTGGACAGGGAGCTCTTGTAGCAGTGAGGTCCTAGTCCAGTGGTAGGTTGCTCTCCTCAGCTCACCCAGAGGTCTCAGGGTTGCTGCAGGTCATCTCACCTTGCTGGCCCCTCTGGTGGGGTATCTGAGATAGCTGGTGCAGGATCTGGGACCATGGTAGGGGCAGACAGGGTCTGGCAGCAGGTTGGGAGTGCAGGGTGGTGCATGCAGCTGAGGGGAAAGAAGCTGGCCTGAGGGTGCAGGTGGAGCTTCACCTGGGCAGGAAAGTGAGGAAACGAACCCCCACTAATAAACCAGAGAAACCCTGCATTGAGTGAGCCCCTGGCAACACTCCAGAGCCATCAGCAGGATTCACCTGCAGATGCACCTGGACTGGAGCCTCCAGCCAGCAGCTGGATCCCACCCAAGAGCCTGTACGCCCAGCTGTGCTCAGCTTCCCCCCAGCCCAAGTGGGCATTGGGAAAACCCCTACTATTCCCATCCACAGGCAGGAACAGG